ACTTCAGGATGTGACAGCAGACGGTCTCCAATTTGTTTTTATTTCAGAATGGACCAAGAGATCTTATGTCATACACTTTGAGAATGGCTCCGTTGTAGATAACCCGGACGGGGTAGTTGACAGTTCCACTGTGTTCCTGCAGCTATTACAGGCCTTCTACCCAGAGCTTGTAAAAGAGTACCATAACTTGAGGATGTGACTGCAGATATCCTCCAATTTGTTTTTATTTCAGAATGGACCAAGAGATCTTACGTCATACACTTTGAGAATGGCTCCGTTGTAGATAACCCGGACGGGGTAGTTGACAGTTCCACTGTGTTCCTGCAGCAATTACAGGCCTTCTACCCAGAGCTTGTAAAAGAGTACCATTACTTGAGGATGTGACTGCAAATGGCCTCCAATTTGTTTTTATTTCAGAATGAACCAAGTTTTGTATTTTGAGGATGTGACTGCAGAAATATCCCATAGATATCTTATTAAATATTTGTATTTTTTGCAGGATCTACAAACCGAACTTTTAATTTCATTCTTGAAGGATTTAAGGTAGATAGGGTGTCTTCCTCCATCTTGGATTTTGTAATACCTGAAAACAATCGGTCTAGATCTTTAATAGAATGTGCAAATTTTGAGAGTAGTAGGTAATTCATGTGTAAGAATTTTCATTTCAATATAGAAAATGACATGTTTTATCATATTTATGGTTGTATTTTACAAAAAACAGAAAACTTTTGTTTGATTCAATGTTTTCCAACTTTGCCACATAAGGGGAGGCAACTCAAATGTAAGGGCAGATAATTCAGATAAAGGTACTTTTACAATAGAATGTGTTAGGATTTTACCTATTTTATTATGTAGCAAGAAAACGGGTCCGGTGACCCCATTTTTTCTTTTTCTTATCTGAAAGCATACTATTAAAGCTATCTTCTCATATTTTATCTCAAAATTCTATGGTGTAGTTTTCGTTTTATGGCAGAAAATTGGGTTTTCCATGCATAATCTATACAAATCTGTTAATTTTGAACAACCTGTAGCGTGAAAATAAGCCCCGTGACCCATTCTTTTTATCATTTTTTTTTAAAAAGCTTGATATAAACTACATTTTGGCAAATTATTAAAAAATTCTATGGATTACAATTTAGACACCCCATCTACCTTAAATCTATTTAGTAGTTACTTATTCCTTAATGTATTAAATGTATGCCATCCTGTATCCTTAATATATAAGATGTGTTTCGTCCTGTCTCCTTAACATATCAGATTTATTTCAGCTTATATCTTTAACATATCAGATGTGTTTCGGCCTGTCTCCTTAACATATCAGATTTATTTCAGCTTATATCCTTAATGTATCAGATGTGTTTCGTCCTGTCTCCTTAACATATCAGATTTATTTCAGCTTATATCCTTAATGTATCAGATGTGTTTTGTCCTGTCTCCTTAACATATCAGATTTATTTCAGCTTATATCCTTAATGTATCAGATGTATGCTAGCTTGCATCTGTATAGAAGCACATATATTAAATTGTTGATCTTACATTTTTTTGTAATTTTTTTTCATTCAAGGACATCTAAAGCAAAATGAATGGTTTAAAAAAAAAAAGATTATAAATAGATTAGAGATTTATCCTCATTTATATGTGGGAAATTACAGCTTTGAAAGTTGGCATTTGACACAACCTGTTAAACTACAAAAAGCTGTGTGGATATACATCATACATCATTAATCAATGAGACAGCAACCCAACGGCACAAAGAAAAAGAATTTCAACATAAAAAATTATGGTCTCAACAATCAACAATTTAAAAAAAAAGTTTTATACAATATGTCGAGCTGTGAACACTAATCTAGAAAAAGTGAATTAATTTAGTTGAGACTATCAAAGATCTCCATATTCAACAAATTGCTTAATAACGAAAAAAGATTTCAGTTTTCATGTATATGTCAAAAACTATTTGGATGTCGGATAATAATTTGTTAATGGTGAATAATAAGCAATTAAATAAAATAGAGATATTTTTGGTGTTAATGGCCATAATTAATAACCTTATATAAAGGGGAATATGTGCACTTCATTATAAATTGACAGAAAAATATTTTTATTCAAGGGTAAATGTAAGAATGCAAATAAATATCAGATAATAAATTCAGAAATACATCTTACTTACTAGCCATTTCTATACTAACATTTAACCCCCAATCTAACAAACCTAACAATTTTCCTTTATCATTAGTTTGTCTAAACTTCATTGGTCATTTCTGAGTTGTGTTTTCTTTTTCTTGCTATTTTGCTGGTTTGAATGGTTTCATATACATGTATTTGATAGTTGAAATGTTGTCTATAGTTTTTATAGAGTTTCTTAGTTATGTATTTCTGAAGTTTATTTATATGATGTTTTAAGTTTTAAAAAGTTTTTTTCTATGGGGTCTCATTTGATTCAGTAACAATTTGAAATTTTTAGTTATTTTAAAATTATATAAACATTGTAGTGCATATTATTTATTTACTAAAGTCCAGATCCTTAATTATCCACATTTGTCTTTTATCATTTATGTTATTTAGACAATTTTGTGTTGATAGTAACTCTTTAATGGTTTCTGTTTAAATGTATTCTCAAATTTTAAATATTCAGTTCTTAAATTAAAGCAGATTAAAAAAAACGTTGTTAGATTATTTGTAAAAGATATTATTTTTAAGTAAGATTTCCTTCTCTTCATGATCATTTAAGAATTGCTTGGAGCATGTTTTTTGACATATTATAGAATTTAAAATTATACTAAAAAGATATAGAAAAACATGATCCATAGAAAATGAAAGGATATGGAGAAAATGTACATGGGACAAAATCGCACACAATGCATAGAAAACACAGAAAATTATCAATGAACAGGGCTTTTATTCAAGAAATAACTTTTTTCTAAAATTGAGAAGATAATAAATTTTGATTTTTTTCTGGTTAGAAATGCACTGTTAAAATTGAACTCCATGTTGTTTAAATTTACGGTTTATTTTGCATGGTTATGGTTATGGTTATGGTTTTTTCCTAAAAAAATATTCTGATCCCCAACTTGATGAAAAAAGATATTGTCAAGCAGATGACAAAAAAAAATATTCTGAATCCAGTTTTACCCAATACCTTAGTGTTAAATTTTGAAGTAAAAGTATAAAACTAAATGAAAAAAAAAACCAAAAGAACTACTAAAAAAAACCCAACATTTCATAAGTTAAATAGTAAAAAATAATTTTGTTAATATAAAAACACTGATGGTCATTTTATGGTGCAACAGTTCTTGGTACATTTTAATATATTGTCCTTTTAATGCATTGCCATCATGAAAAATGTCATTATGTGCAAGTGGTAGAGTTTTCTTACAGGGCCACTTTTGCACAATTATGTGCAAGTGGTAGATTTTCTTACAGGGCCACACTTATCGTATTTTGTATTATTATTTTTGGACCTAATTTGTAAAGCAAGGGTAAAATATTCATTTTTAGTGCCATTCGAGAGTGGTTTATATTTGGGATGGAGGGAAAACTTCAAAGAATTTTAATAGTTATCATAAAATAATATTTCAATTGGTCAATAAATAAAGTAAAACAAATCTGAGAATAAGATAACACAAAGAAAGCTGTGAGTGAAAAATGAATTGTCCATTCCTCGATATATAGGTTTTCAACCTAACATTTATGTGCTGAAATTTAAAATATTTTAAAAGAGAAATAAATTGAAGAAAAGAAAACTTTACAACAGAGTATAAATTACCAAATACAAATAAAGTTAAAAGGGGGGAGGTGGTATTTAGAGGCAATACCCAAATCCCTAATTAACATAAAATTTTATTCAAATTTGGAAACCCAAGGGTTCAGTGGGGTATGTGGTCATCTGGACTTCTCCCATCCAGCGGTAAATCTTATTTGAAGGGGATCTGTTTTTGTTGCAAGGGAATATTAATATGCAGTCACATCCGATTTGATTGTGAAGTAGGAGATTGATCTCTGCACATTAAAGAACCCTGGCAACAACTCTTGAGGGGTATGTAGCTTGCCAGTTGTAAGACAAAATTTCTGCCTCCTAGTTTCCCCTTTTTTCAATGGTAGTTTCAATCTGAGTGACATACCTTTCATCCCGGTTTACCAATTTTGCAAAACGTCCCTACTGGAATTATGTCCTGAATATGCATAAAATATTTGCAAGTGGACATCAACTGGCTGCAACGAGTTGGAATAGAAAATTGTGAAAGATGGTTATCCTAGCAAGCCATCTCCATGACCAGAGCAAAGGCCTGAATGAACATTAAAGAGATTAAATTATATTAGATTATTCACAGTAATGCATTGCTAACTGATAAGTTAAAAAGCAGACAAAATTAAAGTAATATTTTTTGAACATTTAAATTGAACTTTTTGCATATCATATTTAGTCATCTTTTAGTAGATTTGCCATTTAATGGATTATGAAAAATTATGTGCCAGTGGTGAAGTATGTTTCATTTACAAATGTTGATCCATTCTTTTTCAGATGCCAAGATTAAACAAAAAGGTTAATTTGATGTTGCTGCAGGACTTGGAAAATTGATACTGTTTTACCTCAGGTTTGTTAATAAATATTTTATTGTAAAGAGAGCAACCACTATGATTTGTTGCACTGTCTTGTAGACATATCTTTAAGGGGCAGTAACATATAAAATTGTATAAAAACTAACATTATTTTCAGTCAAAATTCTGAGACACAGAAAAGTGAATGGTGTTCTTTTAAACTGGATCCCATTCAAATTGAAATCTTATTGCAAAGAATAATTTTAATTGGAGGACAATAGTGACACTGAGTATCGCAATAATAACAACTTGCATTCTGATATATGAATATATATGCAGATTTTTCTGAAATTGCAATAATGAGTCATTTTTCCAGCCATTTTTCAAAAATCACAATAAATTAATGCATGCAATAATTTCTGAATTTATAGGTAAATAATTTACATCTTTTTTTTTCAGATGCCGACATCACTCAGAAAGGTTCAATTCAATGTGGCTGATGCCGACATCACACAGAAAGGTTCAATTCAATGTGGCTGATGCCGACATCACACAGAAAGGTTCATTCAATGTGGCTGATGCCGACATCACACAGAAAGGTTCAATTCAATGTGGCTGATGCTGACATCACACAGAAAGGTTCAATTCAATGTTGCTGCAGGACTTGGAAATTATATCCTGTTTTATCTCAGGTTTGTTAAAAAAAAATGTATGTAAAGAGAGCAATTGTTTTGTTTTGTCCCTGTGTCAAGTTTACTTATATCTTTAACAGGAAGTAACTAATGGACATAAAATTTTGCAAAAACTAACATGGTTTTTAGTCAAAATTCTGTAACAACAAAAAAATGATTACAATTAAGGATGTTTATAATCTTTTATAAACTGGAACATATTCAAATTTAAATCTATATCAAGGAATTGAAATTATGTTTAATTTGTAACTCGCCATTGATCGATCAGGGTGAATTTATCGTCTTTTGCAGAAAAATAATTTTGATGTTGAATTGGACCTGAGATCATTTACCTATTAATGATTAGTGTTTTAAGATATATATGAACTTACTTTTTATCATCAGTTTGGAACAGAAATTGAGATACATTGCTGTCAAACATTCTGTAGACTTGAAAATAAGAAACGTTCAACATTTCATCAACAGAACAGTAAGTAGCATTTTATTTTTTATCCATTCAGGACATACTTTTCACCTTTAATGCATCCATTCAATCTTTGTATTATAGAAAGACACACAGAAAAGTCGCGTGCCATTTCATGATAATAATGAGCAGGGTTTAAGCTAGGATTTTGAGAGCTTAATGTCACTTTTCAATCACTGATAATGAGAAGTGTGAATGAAATATTTCAGAGTTAAGTTATAGGAATTAAATTTTAAATATTATTAAAATTAGATTATATGCATTTCTAATTATATCATTTGTTTTAACTATAAGTATTTTTTTCTGTTTTTGTTTTTTTCAGGATGAAAATAGCAAACAGGAAGTTTTCAAGAGATTGTTACCTCAAATCTGAAGTGGTTCAATGCAAAACATGAGGTAATCTTTTCTTAAATTTAAAAAAATACTTTAGAAGGTTGATTTATAATGGTCAATGCATCAATAAGACCCAGTCATCTATCTGGCTGGGACCTCAGAACTCTCATAATTTTTACTATATTGAGAAAATGCATAAGGAAAAAAATCCAATAAGAATAATGTATGCGATATTCTAGGGAAATTGTTCTTGTTTCAAAAATTATCTTTCGAACACTGTTGCATTTAATGAAGGCTGATTTTTAAGTGGCTGCTCAGATTGGATAACTTAAACAGAAAATAAAATCCAGAATAGAAATGAGTAATATGCTAATTAATATTCTAATGCTACCAACTAGAAGTTGAAGAAATATTAGTATCTCAGGACAGTAAAACATTTTGATAATTTATTTTTTCAGCTTCATTCAATGCTGGCCCTGCATGGTATTCACAAAGTGCCTTTATTAGATGAAAACTTGATGGGAATAAATTTACCTGATGTTTAGGTAAGTCAGCATTATATTACAAAAACACTACACAAATGCATTGTTAAGAGACCGGTTGTATTCTTGTATAAAATTTCCTTGTTAAAGCATTCAGATGAGTTATTTCCCTTATTTCTACCAGTTTATATATTTTATAGCTTCAAAACTAATGGACACATGACAGGACTCATTGCTCAGAGAATTTTTTTTCATTAATAACTCGACGTGAAGATATACTAATTATGTAAAAATGTGTGCATCACACAATCATACTGAGGAATGGGGGGAAAATGCATTGCTGAAAATTATTTCAAGGGAGATAGTTTGAGATTTTTTTTTTCGGGACTAATTTATAAATACAATACTATATCATCATCAAATCGGATTTGCGAATAGGGCTGAAATAACATTCAGATCTTACTGTAAGATTATTTTTTTTATGTAAGAACCACCGAATGGTCAAGTTTTACCATTTGAAAATTTTTTGTATTCTAAAAAAACCAATTATTTGCCACCTGGCTTGCATTCATGATTGTAAACGGATATTCAATCTTGGACACCAAATGGTATAAAAAATAAAGAACTTAGCAGCAAAAAATAATCCTAACTGTCAATGATTAACCAATTAATAATATAAAGAATAAATATTGTGACACAGAAAAACTGTTTCTCCTTTTTATTTTTATGAACCTTGCTATAAAACTTATCATTCCATTTGTAGGTAATGTTTGATGCTTCCAATCATGGATATTTTGAAAAAAAGGAGAAAATGAAGGAAGGACATCAACACACAGAACATCAGTTTTTAGATGAGGGAGACTCAGTTACAAAATATAACTCCAGAAATAATTTGCTGTGATAGAATATGGACTAGAAACACTAATGGACTCGGGGACAAGCTGAGCAAGGGAAGAGACTTAAACAAAACAGACTCTAGAATATGTTGTGCAAAACAACAGACTTCAAAAACAAAAATAAATAAGACTCATGAATATGATTTGCTTGACAAGAAACTTTTATTTAACAAAAAAACAATAAAATATAATCGTTGATGAAAACTTTGTTGAGCACAAACTTTTTTATTTATTGGTTATAAAATTGAGGAGAGAGTCTCAGTCAAATATAATTTTTAAAATGTAAAATGTGTGAAAGGCAAAGAGAGAGTCAGGTAGGTTTTTATAAAGATTAAATTTGTTCATTTTAAAGCTCACTGCTTATCTTCAATGTTTGATTAAAAGTGTTTTTTTTTCTTCAAAATTCATTATGTTAAAATGTGAAATAGTTAATATATTCATTTGTAAAGATTTATCCTGTTTCAACCTTAAAGCTCGTGGTATTGTTTCCATTTTTTACGAGCTGTTTGACTATAGACGGTCACTGCTAGTATTTATGGTTTAAACAAGATTAATCTAAGAGGAATTGCAGTGTATGAAAGAGAGAAAGAGGGACCGGACTATGTAAAGGTCTACTTCTTTTTCAGCAAAACAGCAGGTTCTTCTTTATGACTTTTTTGTATTGAAATTTAAGATTGGATGAATCTAGAAGGAGGGTAAAGTATTTTGAATATGATTATAAGTACTTAAAAAATAATTTTCAATATTTTGAGTAAGAGCATGATATTTTATTAACAAAACATTCAAGTATTGTTTTTTTTTTTGCGTTTTGTGTATGATTATTGAAATAATATTTCTTAATAAAAGTTTATATTGAAAATTAGCAATGATGGCTTTTTGTCCTAGTATTATATCCCTCCTCTAGGTGTTAAGGCTATATTGCATTCACCTTGTCGGTCTGTCCCTCTGTCTGCCCGTTTGTCCAGCAAATTTTTTCGTCACATTTTTTTCAGGTACTGCTGAACAGGATGACTACCATTTTGGTCAAAAGCTTGACAGTGATGAGTTATAACATGTGAGAGCTTTTTCGGAATTGTGAGGTACCTACTTTCTGATTATGGGGAACCACTACTAGTGATAGGTCAATGATATTTGGTATGCAGTTGTATCAGCATTGGCACATCTCATTTCCATGGAGATTATTTGGCCCCGTCCCCTCAGTCATTGTCTACTGACTTTGAAACTTTTGCTCAGTTTACATGTATTAGTTTGTGATTAGGTCAGTTTATGGGTAACAACTAGTGGTAGGTCAATGATATTTGGTATGTTGTATGAGCATTGGCTCATCATATTTCCATGGAGAATGTTTGGCCCTGTACCTTCAGTCATGGTTCATTGACTTTGAATATTTGGCATAAAAGGCGAGGCATATCTCTGTGTTAACAGTTTATGATAATGTTGATGTAGGATGCTCAGAAGTATTCATAAGATCCCTTATATTATATTAGGTCACGTTTATGAGTCCTATTTAATTGTTGAGCCTGCATTTTAGACATTTTTGTTTGTTCATATTAAGGCTATTGAATAATGATTTGTTCTATCTCAATTTACATCTGATGGAACCAGTCACTAGCCTTTCAACTCCAAATCTGAAACCGGGTCATTGCGAGGGTTCAACTCAGATCTTGATTAACAAGGATTGCCTGAGTTTTTCTGCTGAAGATTGGTGTTTCTCTCCAGGTACTAGTTCCATCTTCCTCCACCAACCATAGACTGACTGCCATATATAGCCAAGGTTGCTGAAAGTGGCCAACAACTATAGTTTTGTATTCATGGAGGGAAGGAAATGAAAAAAAGTAATATTTCATTCGTATTATTTTCTGCAGTAATTTTGTTCCTGTTTAATTAAATATGTATGCTGAATTGATTGATTAGTTGATGTTTGCTCAACGTCCAGTGGCAAATATTTCATGCATGTTGAGGACGAATGCTGAATTTAATCTGAATGGGGAAAATTTCTTTTTGTTTGTCATATAATGTAGAAGCTGAAAGAATATCATGTTTGCTGAATGTGGTGCGACCTTAAGTCGAAAAATTTAATAAGCAGCACATAATCATATATTTGTGGCTTGTGGCACTTTTTATGCCATGAAATAAGTATTGTTTGCACAGAATGACAAAAAAATCTTAACTTTAGTACCTTATGAAAAATGAAAATTATGTCGTATCAATTAACACCTTGGATTTATAAATATTGGTCCCAGGTTATGCCAAATAAGCTGAAATTATCCCAACATTATGAATTTTTAGACCATACACAAGACAAGTAGAGCTAAAATATTTTCTATGAAGCATTACGTATTTATGTGATTTTGAATTCAATTCAGAATAGTATGCAGAGGCGTTTCCAGGATATTTGAAAGAGGGGGTGTAGACTACATTCTTCAGCCGAGCAGAGCAAGGCGAAAATTTTTTTGGCTAAAAAACATAAGATAATTGTGAAATGCACTAATATAACGGTTCCCGCGGAGTGACTTGGAGCATGTATATTTTATAGTTAAAGTGTCAGGGTTTGATATTTTTTATGCCGAATTCTCTCCATTAATTGTCTATGGTATATTAAAATGATTGGATGGATCTTAACAGCAGTAGACCAATAACGAGAAATTCCAAATTCTAGGGTATAGGGCGTTACTTTACATTTCAATAGTCCTAGACCAGGATTTTATGAACGGGAGGCGTAATTCCGGTTGCCCTGGTATAGGGTCCATGGGGAAGGTCAGAAGCTCCTGGATTTCAACAATTTAGCATCAAATTATGAAGTATTATAACAGACTCCATGATAGACAAATTGGTGAAAATAGTCTGCCCTCGGATCATTCAAATTATGTATTGATTAACATGTGGATATCAAATCTTTGGAAGAAGTTGTAAATTCAGTTTAAAGGTTAATATATGAAATGGGCATGAAAAATGAAAAATAAATCTTTAACGATAGCTTTTTCTGAACTTTTGATATATATAGATTCTACCACTGCATCGAGTGTGATACGATATTTATCCACTCGAGACAGCGAGGCTCGACGAGCGTTTTAAATATTTAAAATTTAACTGTCGAGAGTGGATAAATATCGTATTACACGAGATTTGGTGGTGGAATCTGTTCTCTAATGATTTTCAAACAATACGCAGGCAAATTTATTCCTTCTTTTCGAATGATCTGCAAAAAGATGTGTTCTTTCTATGGGACGTCATCAGGCATGGTCGCCTTTTTTCATGCCGTCACAATAGGAAATTCAGAGGAAAGCAAGAAAATTCGACGTCATAATCGGATTTTAACCAATGAAGAACTGAGATCAAACGAACCACACGTTGATTAAATTTTTTTTATACAATGGGTGCAGAAAGGGATAAATTGACGAAGAATTAGAGAAATATATTTATCCATACCCGACCGTTTTGTTAAAATATTCCTTTTCACTGTTTTGGTCTTTTGGAAAATGTTGTTTGTGCTGTATTTAGACCCCTTTACCAAGAAATTTGTTTTGCATGCACACATATAAAGATTTATAGGTTTGAACGTTGTTTTCAATTTAGTAGATATAAAAAGATGTGCTATGAGTGCCAATGAGACAACTCTCCATCCAAGTCACAATTTATAAAAGTAAACCATTATAGGTCAAAGTACGGTCTTCAACACGGAGCCTTGGCTCACACCGAACAGCAAGTTATAAATGGCCCCAAAAATTACTAGTGTAAAACCATTCAAACGGGAAAACCAACGGTCTAATCTATATAAGAAACGACAAACACTTATGAACCACATCAACAAACGACAACTACTGCATGAACATCAGATTCCTGACTTAGGACAGGTGCAAACAGTTGCAGCGGGTTTAAACGTCTTAATGGTACCAAACATTCACCCTTATCTGAAACAATAGTGTAACATTGTATTTATAATACCCGTTCTAGATAGTCAAATCTGACCCCTTCCAATGCAAGGCGAAAAAAACATAACCCAATTTCAGACAATTTACCTGAAAATGCAACCCCGTTTGTCAGAACTTACCCGGTATCATATATATAGCGAGTATCCCCCGGGTAGATGTAGAATGGCCATTGGGGAAGTGTCACACAAAACAACCATTTCATGTATAGATTTGCTTACTGCTTTGGTTGTTTAAAAAAGGTGTCCAAGTCACCCATCGGATGGGGGAATCAGTATAAAAAGAAATCAGAGTATGTGTTTAGTTAATGAATATGATAAATTGCCATATTCAATACAATATAAGCAGATAACGATAGGTCTTTTTTTTTTTTTTTTTTTTTTTTTTGAAAAGGGGGAGCGTACGCCCATTACGCCCTTACCTGGACCCGCCCCTGGTATGATTTTTTTACTTTTATGAACACTTCTCTGCCAAAAAAAATATGATGAATATTGAAAACCGTGCAAAGTTGAACATTGTTGAATATGGAGTTGCATATAAAAACTAGGATTTTTTCTTTAGAATTTTCTTAGTTCATTGGTTGACATAAAGTAAGATGAGCTTATATGAAAAGATTTTCACAACATTTGAATTACTCATACGTGTTTCACCTCTTTTTTTTTCATACAGCAAAATTGCAAGGTTCAGTCAAAATTCCAAATTTTTGGCTAAAAATGGGTTTTAATAAGACTATCCATCCTGCTTGGGATTTTGTTGCTAAAAAGAAGTTTTAAAATAATTTCACCACATTCTAAATCCCATGTCTCATAAAGGGCAAATTCCACACTCCCGGCACGTTAAAGAACAGCTGCAACAGTTTTCTGATGGGTTAGTGGTAAATTTTCTGTCTCTACCCAGTATCCATCCTCAGTAGCCATCAATTTCTAGTGTCAGTCCCTGCTGTTCATTCTTGTGTACCTACCATGCAGTGTATGAATTATATCCCTTGCAATGAAGATTTAATTTCAAAATCTGAGTCAGTTTATACGAGCTTTACAGTAACCTTAAGAAGTCTACAAGGTTTAAAAATGGATAGTTACCTATTATCTAGATGTAAGAGACATTGGGGCTATAGGGTTAACTTAGTTAATTGTATAAAATACATCGCATAATAAGAATCCAGTAAAATAGATTAAAATATGAACATATCGAACACACCATGCACGAACGGAAAATGTCGGAAATGTCTCCTGCATTGTTCCGAGATTAACTGATCTATCTTTGGAATGTTTACAAACAATATGGCGCGAATGAAAACAGCAACACAACTAAACATTGTGTTATCAGGATACACATGACGTTGATATAGTTATCTAGGTACGAAAAATTTAGAGCCACTCTTACTTGAAATAACTGTTGAACTATGACTAAACTGATGTTATACAGTCAAAAGTGTGTTGAAACGTCTGCATATAATTATAAAACATTTATAGATTACTATCAAATCTTAACCCCCACAAAGCATGTGGACCTGACAATATAAACGGTAGAGTATTAAAAGAATTAAAAGAGCAAGTGTCACCAATACTTACATTAATATTCAGTAAGTCATTAGAGTCGGGGGAAACACCTAAAGATTGGAAGCATGCCAACGTTGCTCCAGCATTTAAAAAAGGGGAAAAATATAAACCTGTAAATTACAGACCCATATCATTAACATGTATATGCTGTAAGATCATGGAACATATCATCACAAGTAACATAATGTCACATTTAGAACAAAACAACATTTTATATAATCTACAACATGGCTTCAGAAAAAACCGATCTTGTGAATCACAATTA